TGTTGATTTCCTTGCAACTGGTGTCTGCTGGGCTTGAACTTTGCTCTCAGTAGAATCTGGCATTAGGGTGAACAAACCTTTGGCATTGTGGCTGCAGGCATCCAGGGAGAGAAACCAGCCTGATGCTGGTAAAAAGAGGCCTGAGCAGCTGGCCTGCATCCTTAGTGCTCTGTCCTTGGATTTTATCTTTATTATTTGGAAACAAATATCACAAGGACATGGGGCCTAACAGCATTGATTATCTTGATAGTTTGTTGATTAAGTCCAGAAGATGCTGGCATCTGCAAATATATCTTATTAGGTGTGATTGGGCAAGTAAATCGTCCCTGCCCTCCAGCATGGAACAATAATGAACTCATACTAACAGCCAAAAGTTAATCACAGCACGAGCCAAGCCAGGCACTCTTTTATCTGTGTGCAAAAGCTCTTTCCCACTATGGCTTCAAGGTGTTCAGCTCTGAGACTTGGAAGAGGTTTTTTGAAAAAGAGCCTTCCTTTTAGGAAAACTGTTCCACATATTATTATTCTAATTTAATTAGGTTTTAAAAAGGTTAACCATGACATTTTAATAGCTTAAGCTAACATTAATATTCTGAGAATACTATTTAGCCCAGCCACGTGTAATTCAAAAGGATGTTTTTCCAGAAAAGGAACTGGCTCTTAGGACAATCACGAAAAAATAGCTTTCATTTGATTAAGATGGGTATCACCCTATGCAAAGGCAGTTACTGAAATAAAATAGACATAAGATACTGAAATATGTTAAAGCCTTATCTTGATGTTATTTATCTAGGAGAAAGGGAGACTGGGCAGTGTGTGTATGGAGATTAGTCCAAAGGCCACTAATTTCTTTCAGGCAATGATCAAATTAGCGAACTGATCTTGTGATGTGCTGTGTGTTGTCAACCTGATGTTTTATTTATTTGCCCGAGAGCTGCTATCTTCATTAGGGAGTTTAGAGAGCAAAGCAAGATGATATTTACTAGCCTGGCAAACTAATACACTCTGCTTATGTTTCTTCTTTTGCTACCCTGGTTAATCGTTGTTTTTTAAAAAACAGCCATTCTCTATGCTAATGGATCCCGTGGGAGCAGGAGAAAACCATAACTTCCTCTAGAGGGAGGCAGCATGGAATGGTTAAGTGCCTATGGCTACTATGTGCCAAGCATTGTGCTTGCCCTGGGGGTGCAGAGATGCTGAAGCCGCAAGCCAGCCCTCCAGACACACAATTAGTGGGGAGCTGACATCAATTATGCGACTAACTCTCATCATACAGTGTAATAGGCACTGTTCTCTCCCCATAGCAGCACAGGGGACAAGTAATTAGATCAGCTTGGTGGGACTGGAGCTGGCTGCAAAGGTAGGGAGGAGGAGGGCTTGAAGGGCGAGAAAGATTTTGTCCGGAGAAGGAGAAGGGAAGGCCCACAAGGGCTGCTTCAACCACTGGTTCTCCATTTGGGGTCCACGACCAGCGGCATCGCCATAACCTTGGGCTTGTTAGAAAATGTTCTCAGGCCTCACACAGGCCCTGCTGGATCAGAAGGTCAGCACGAGAGTGTGTGTATGTCAGCAGTCTGTTTTAACCAGCTCTCTGGTGATTCCCATGTTTATGCAAGTTAAGAGCATTTGTATTCATGCCCCCTCTGGTCAACTGTGAAAAGCATGATTGGACCAGAGTATTGAGTTTACTGCGGTGTGGGGTGAAGAGATGGGGTAACGTGTGATGATGTGGGCACGGTCAACTGGGATCGATTATGCAGGCAGGAAGGGAAGGACATTAATATTTATGTTATCTGTATGTGTGATTATTTTTTTTTAATAATGACAGTTCTGAAGCCAGGTGACAGGAACTGAGTCAAACTAGCTTAAACAAAGAGGAAATTTATTGAAGAGATACCATGATATCTCATTGCTGTCCATGGGAGAATTCAATATCAGGTCTCAGAAAGATAGCTTTTTCTTTCTCTATTTCATATTATTTCCCCAGGATACATTCCCAGATGTAATACTGCTTCAAAGAGTGTGAACAATTTCATGGCTCCTGATGTGTATGGTCAAATAGCTTCTAAATGATTGTAGCAATATACGAGGCCACTGACAGTAAACATAAACCCCAGTTTTACTGCATCCTTATCAACATCAATTCTGTTGTTCCTAACTTGATAAAGGGAAATGGTGCACTATTGTTGTTTGCGATTGATTATTAATGAAATCAAATATTTAAAACCATGCTTATTTACCAGTTGTATATATTACTTAAAAAGGAATTTTTGTCCTTATTTTAGCAGGAGAGGATCCTTTCCTCTCCAAGGATTTTATCCTTTCCTCTCCAAGGATTCAGGATAAAAATAATTCTAGCAAAATAAAGAGGAAGTCATATCAGTTTTGTGGCTACAGGGCTGTCACTAGGTACACCCTCATTACTTCCTCACTAGCAGCTGAAAGGTCCAAGGAGTGCAGAAACTGTGTCCAGATCCCAGCCCTGCCACGTACTGGCCTTGTGATTTGCTGTAAGTTTCACACTCCTGTGAGCCCTCGTTTCCTCATCCAGAAAATAGGGATTATCTGCCCTACCTACCTATGTAACATTTTAAAGATCAGAATGAGGTCAGGTATTTGAAAATGCTTGATAAACTAGAAAGCACTATAAAAATGGAAGCTATCACTATGGTAACATTGGGTTACCTAAATGGAAAGCTCCAGGAGGTCACGCCAAGTCAGGACCGTTGCTGTTGACTTAAAGCAGAAGCATCCCTAGTCTAGTTCAACTTTGTCACTTTTCACACAAATAGGACTCAATTCATAGATGCAAATTCAGGAAAGACATGGGTGACGTTTCAGGTATTTTTGCTCCCACCAACAGGTAATGGGCTTCACAAATATATGGAAGGACCTGATATTTCCTTCCTTCCTTCCTTCCTTCCAGTGCCAAGCACTGGGAGTAAATAGTGAGCAAGAGCTGACCAAGCCCTCACTTTGGTGGAGCTTGTGTGATTATTCAGAACGGTACGCTGCTCATGTGTCCCCAGACTGACACGGGCCTTTGGTACACTGAACAGTGCTTTACAGTTTATAAGGTATGTTTATAGCAATGCATGCATTTGATTCTGCCACCTGTGTTATGAGAAAGACTGAGAGACATAATCTTCTGAAGTCAGAGAGGTTGGGTTACTTGCCTAAGATCATGAGCAGAAAAAGTTGTCGGCTTGGCCCTGGGCGAGATCCCCCACGCCTAGGTTAGTGCCTTTTCTTCTGTATCACATCCATCAGTCCTTTGCGTTCTGATGTTTGCAGTGGGTTGAACTTAGCTCTGTTTTGATGAGGGAATGGAAATGATGAGATTCCCCTGCAGAACCCTAATTCACCTGGAAACTGGCTTAGCTTTTGTTGTGTGAAATGCAGTTCTGCATGTAAGTAAGAAAAGAGAGGCCACAGCTAGAAATTAAAAAGCTGAAGGAAAATGAGGTGCTGTCTAGAAAGTCCCCACTCGCCTAGGAAGCCAGGCAGTGGGGTCAGAGGGGCTGCAGGGCCAAGAAGGGGCCACTCCAGCTCAGCCCTGCTCTCTGACAAAAAAATGTCCCTGCCAGTCAATGGGATTACAGGAGATGCTTCTGAGGGATAAAGGGAGATAAGTGAGCCAGATAGAAAAGCTTGCAGAAAATTGAACAAAACCAGGAGAAGATGAGATGGGCTAAAAAAAGAAGTGTGGGGAACCTGGGCAGGAGAAGCAGTTTGCGATTTTTAGCCTCTTTTTGCTGTGGAGGGAGAGAAAAGGTGCTTTAGCAGGCTGTCTACACAGCCAGTCAGAGGGTAAGACTCAGTCTGAGCCCTGGGCTGGGGATGGCAGTTTACCTCGCTCTTACGTGCATCTCGCACACTGTGGCTGTACAGCAGATGAGTCACTGAACTGACAGACTCCGGACCCACTGGACTCTGTACCCCTGGGTTAGCCAACTCACATCACGGTATTGTGCTAAGCAGTGCCTGCTAAATTTCTGGTCAGTGTACGAAGGACCTCAAGCCACTGAGATACTTTAACACAAAATAAAAAATGCCGTTACATGCGAGATATTCCCTGACTCCCAGTAGGTAAGGAGCTTATAAGTGGATTTGGGGGGAATTATTCTGTAGCGTGAATCCACAGGTGAAACAGAGAGGTGTGGCAATTACCCTATAATTCAGGCAAAAGTGATTTTTAAAAAAAATCCTAATTTCTGAGAAATTGCTTCATTGTCTGCTGTGATCTTAAGGAAGAAAGGTTTGATTGTTGGCTCTTGAATCCCACATGCACTGTCGTAAGTTGCCTTCCTGTGGGCAGAAATAGCCAGTTCTTGGGCTTCACCTTCTGATACCTGAAATAGGAAAGTACAAGAAGGGACCTTTTCCTGCACATGCCTCCCCTACTCTCCTTCTCCCCTTTCTCCCTTCTCCAGCCTCATCCACACTCTTAGGATAGAATGATATGACTTCTGAGGCTTGCCACCCAGGTATCAGTTGCCTGAGTCTCTCCAATTTCTCTAGCTTTTGGGGGCCATGTTTCCAGAAGGCAATCCAGTAGAATGACCTGAGCTTCCCTTTCATTCCTGGGAAGCCCACTGTGTCCCATATCTCCAAGAATTGTAGATAGCCCCCATGTTTCTTCTCTACTCCCTGGTTCCTGCTTCCAGTGAATTCTTTCCGCATCTCTTCTCCTAGTCTCTTTCCTGTACACACTGTCCTTTCTGCACATCATCTCCTGCACGTGGGCCCAGCTCCCCTCCTTCAGTTCTCCAGGGCAACGGTACACCTAGGCCATGAAGTATGGCAGCCTTTAGTGAACCAGAGCTCCTGAAGCTGGTTACACTGACCTACCACATAAGAGATTATTTTCATGAAATCAGAAAAAATGGGTATTAGACACCTGTGTCAGTGGGTGGTTCTTACTCTCATTTCACAGTTCTGCTTTGGTCTTGCAGTCCCCTTCTCCTTCCTCACACCTCTTTTTTTTCCCCTCTCCCCAGGCACAACATCTTTGGAAACTGATTCCCAGGAGGAAGGAGTGAGACACCCGAGCTGAGTCAGCCTCAGTTACTCTTTTGCTTTTCACCAATCATGAGATACTTTGGGGAAGAGTAACTCCCAGAAGGAGGAATGAGACCCAAGGTGGAGAAAGGCCAAGAGTATTTCTCATCTTGAAAACTATCCTAAGCCTGTTGTCATTCTGTATTCTTAGCCTAGCCTGACCAGCTTTCATATCAAAATGTAAAACAGTGGCCAAAAAAGAGTCTGTGATTTTCAGTGCTTCAGTTCTCAGATCATTTCATTGAGTAGAATCCTTCTGCTTCCACCCTTCTTTAGATGTCAAATGTTACATGTCAACCAGTCGGCATCTTGAACCTTCACTGTTGGCTTGTATTTTCCTCTTATTTCATGACAACTGTAATTTAAGATAAACATTTATTGAGCATCTAATATTGATAGCTATGGGCTAGAAATGGTGGAATATACAAATATGATTAAAACATTCTTCCTGCCCTCAAGGGACTTCATTGTCTAGTAGAAAATAAATATAAGGTTGTGCTATAACCTTTAATGTGCTTCTGAAAACATTATCATACAACACCTGTGAAGTAGGGAAGGCAGATGATGATCTGACATGAAGAATGATGAAACAGAAACTCAGAGCTGTTAAGTTCAGGTTTGCACAGCTAATAAGTGATAGACTAGAACTAGAACTGGGGCTTTGACTTCTGGACTAATTTCCTTTTTACTTCCTACACCACCCTGGGTACATTATTTCTACTATAAGGACAGAAAGAGAAAGGAGTATTCTGAGAATTTTTGGGTTGGTTCTAGGTAGGGGGGAAACTCATCCACTCTTGGGTAAAAGAATACAGTGTGGTAGGTGGGAGCCTTTCTCTTAAAAGGCAGTGTCCAGAGCTTCCTGGGTGGCTGAGCAGGAGGGAGGAAGAGTTGGCAGATGAGACTGCCAAGCCTCAGGCTGCCTTCATTCTTAGGGAAGATCATTCACAAAGAAATCTCGGCCAGAATAATCTTTGAGGATGACTAGTGTCTTGCTTTCCATTACATTTCCCCTCAAGTACCAACACATTGTCTGGTGATACCTAAGAAACATATAGCCCAGATTTCTGTAGCAGAAGAAGATGATGAACTTTTGGATATTTAATGATTGCTGGCAAGAAATATGCTGCTGATCTGGGTCTGAAGAAGGTTATTGAATAGTGGTGAATGAAGGTCCAGATGGGGGACAGTGTGTGTATCAAGTTCACCTCCATGTTCTTGGAGGTTGGCAGATGAATTGGCCTCCTGGTTAAGTATGTTTTAGGGATAATTTTCCCTTCTCTAGGCAATGATCAAGTTTGCAAGTTCCAATATGTTAAACAGTACCCCTATTTTTGCCTGTGTATTGAGTGATTGAGGAAATAATTTCAAAAACCCATACATAATAAAGGACAATGTTGAATGGTTAAAAAAAAGAGGCAGTGTCCAAATACATGTCAGCCCCAATAAATCACAGCAGATAATTTTTAGGAAAATTATACCCCAAAGGATGTTTACATTTTTTTTCAGGTTAGCTAATATGTAAGTTCTTGTTTTATGAAGGTTGTTATCCTGTTCTTGGGAAGATTTGGTGGGGTGGATTTTAAAGTAAATGTTAATTGTGAGAGCTGAATAGTCATTGACATCCCAGAGGTAAATAAATGTTTACTGAATGGGCATTATTAGGCAAATTATTTAATGAAGTCTATTCTAACACAGTTCACTATGTTTAAAAGTTCCTGTTGACTTCTTCCAGGAGGGGAAAGCCCTGTGACAAAGATCTGAAAGATATGAAGATACGTATATGAATATACAAAGCCTATGAGGTGGTGTCATCCTAGAAAACAGAAAGGTAGAACAGATACTGAATTGCTCACCACTTCCTGCATCACGTTTTCATAGCAGCCTCATTTTCTTTACTCAAGGCTTTGCGTGTTCCAGAGTAGCCATCAGCCATATTGAAGTACATGGGTACTTCTGCATCCAGAGCCGCAAAGCAGAGAAATGGAGAGAACCTTTATGGCATTCTTGAACGACCGAGCAGACAGCTCCCGAAGACTGCCCGACTTTTGGATTGGCTTCCTTATTGTTGGATCAGATTGATTTGAGGCTTTCAGTTATTTACACAAAAACCAAACCAAAGCCAATAAGAGAACATTTATCTAATTGCCTCTTTTACTTGACTCTGTCATTAGCACAGATAATCGAGAGTTGGACAGCTCTGGGATTTCTGTCTCTGACAGTGCTGAAGTTCTACAGTGCTGTATACATATCATCAAACGTGGGATTCTTTCTCTGCTCTGGTCACAGACAGATGTTATGAAAATTGTGTGTATTAGGTTGTGGCAAAAAATTATGGTGTTTAGTATAAATTAACCAGCCCCTGGCATGGTGCCTGACGTGAATGCTCAGTAAATATTTGTTGACTGTCTGATCATAGGTCTCTGATGAATGTAATTCGCATTATCATCTCTCTCTTCAAACCGTCACCATAATATCAAATACTATCCTCATATGGCTTACTGGGTTTAAAAAATGTCCTATCGTACTACTCAGTATTGTTTGAGAAATAATAGCGTTGTTTGAGAATAATACTAGTTACCATTTGCATTCTCTTTGTGTTGGATCTGTGCTAAGGGTTTTTTTATACATTATTTCATCTCATCTTATTATAATTTGATAAGGTATTATTATCTGACTTTATAAGTGAGGAAATTGAAGCTTTCTCTTGAAGAAAACATTCTTAATTTTAATATTTTCAAAATTTTTAATATTTTAATTCAATAACCAATGGTATCTGTGTTTTCTTTAAGAAATCTTTCCCCACCTTGAGGTCTAAAATAAATTCACCTAGGTTCTCTTCAAAAAGTTTTAATGTTTTGTTTTTGACCTGTAAGACTCTAATTCATCTGGAGTTGATTTTTAAATATGGGATTGCTTAAGGATTCCCTTTTATCTTACTCCATATGGAAAATTATTTTATTTTCCAGCTCTGTTTAATTGACTTTCTCCTTTTCCCACTCGTCTTAAACTTTGACATACATCAGTGATTCATGTATGTATTCACATAGGATATCATAGAGTAGCTTAAAATATGTCACTATATGCAACAATATGAAATAATCTTTGCAATGTGATGGACTAATGAAGAGAATGTGTCATGAACCAAGGGCCATGATGAGCTGAATTCTGTCCATCTGAGGTCCTAGGAGGAAAGAAACAAACCCAAAGTTAAAAGAAGTTAAATGATTTTCCCAAGTTCACTTGGCTGGGAAAGTAGTAGAACTGGGACTTCAAACCAGTTTATCCAACTCCAGATGCCAACTTTTCCATTAGACAGTGTGGCATAGTCAGTTCACAACCTAAAAACAATCATATCATTCTTTGTGAAGATTTTAGCATTTGAGACAGATCTACAAGTCCTGCTGGTGAGCAGGATACCACCCAAAGTTAGAAGTTTCTCTGTCTCGCTCCCTTGCAGGATCCTTGAGGTCCTCAGTCCATTTGTTGTCCCCTCTCCCTGCGGCAGTGTTCTGCCTCTGTCTCTTCCAGGCTCCTTTCCATCACTGAATATGCTTGGATATGCCCGCATCTTTGCATCTTGATTGAAGAAACATAAAAACCCCTTTGATCTCTTCCCCTTCCCCTCTCAGAACTTGAAATACCCTGCCACAGTTCTTGCTTGGTTGTATTCCTCTTTACAGAAAGCTCTGTAGGAGAAGGGTCAGCTGCCTTATGCACTGTTGTACCTAGTACCCAGCACAGTGGCCAACATACAGTGGGCCCTCAATAAATTTTAATCTAATGAATGAAAAAAAGGTGATACACTTACATACTGTTTACTTCTTAATGCACTATTTTTAGTTTCTGCCTCATCCCAGGCTCTCAAAAAGGTCCTGTTGTGAGGCGAGGGAATTTAAAGTTACTCTGCACTGGGTAAGTGATAATTCAATAAGCCAGTATTGTTGCCAGGCACACAGTGACCATGTGCTTCAGTTCTAGTGCCTGGGTTCTTGCTTCATTCTTGGTTAATAAGCTTCTGCTTCTCATCTCAGTTCCAGAAGATAGGTCCCTGCTCAGGTCCTCTGGCGGTCCTCCAGGGCACATGACCCAGCAATGAGCCTCGGTCGTCCTGTCTGACTTGCTGCCCCTTTCACCGCTGATGCAGTTTTGTTCTTCAGTCAACAGTCTGGATTCTCTGTGCAGCCCAAGCCCAGATGCCCTGACACACCAACCTCATTCTCATTCTTGTCTCCTGCTGGGGCCTTCCAGAGAGCTGCCAGTCTGAGTCCAGCTCACTCTCCTCCATGCAGCCATTCTGAGATGTTGCTGAGCCTCAGAGGGACCCAGCCACCATTTAGGATGTCCTTAGAATCACCTTAGGCAGAACCCTGATCCTCAGATTCTTGCATTCCAAGGATAGAAGGGAGGGAGTGGAAGGCAGGAGAGTGGCCGAGGGGAGGCCCCAGGAGTTTTTAGCCACAGTGTTGCTCTAGGTCCCTACCCTGACCCAGAGGACATTGTGTCATGGTGGGAATGGGTGGCCCAAACTGGGGAGGGTGTGTGTTTGGGCTGGGGGGAGAATGTCTTATTTGTCTTTTTTTCCCCAACACCCACCACAGAGCCTGACTTAAACAGGGAGTCAGTCAATAGATGTCATTTAATGGTGTGAGCACATCCCAGTTCAAGCTGTGTCCCTCACACCATGGGTGACACTGAACTAGTCAATACATCTCTGAGCCTCAGTTTTCCCATATGTTAAGTGTGGATCACAGTGACTCTCATGTTGTTTTAAAGATGGAGTAATTTAATACATTTAGGGAATGTGACATCAGTAACCTCCAATATTTTTCAGCATGTTCTCCTATTAGTAGGAATTTTAAAATATGCATTCCCTTATAAGTGTGTGTGTGTGTGTGTATACACATATACTTCTAAATGACACATGTTCTATTATATATTTACATGGTATATATTTTTAATGGATGAGGCCAAAAATAAATAGACATTTTAATATATTCTTCCTATAACCCACTGGATGGTCTTGTGTACCCTTGGGGTTGTGTTTATCTTACTGTGAAGATCATGGCTTTAAAGTCTGATATACAGTTAAGGGGGAAAAGATAAGATGTTGAGCTGTTTTTACTCACAACACTTCTGACATCAAATGCATGGTGTCCTAACACCACTCCCTGACACTGGCTGGGTGTCCCACAATTACATTTAATTTTGATATTATCTGTCAGGAGTTAGCATCAGACCCCATGGGTTAAGGGCATAGTCACACAAGACTGTGCCCATATCTGATGCCAGTCACAAGTCCCAGACTGTTACTGGTACTTCTGACCAACTAACTATAAATTCAGGGGCTTCCCACAACCCTCTTTCTAGGTTCAGTAATTTGCCAGAATGACCCACAGTGTTTAGGAAAGTGTTTTACTTACTATTACAGGCTTATTTGCTGTTACAACTCAGGGACAGCAAAATGAAAGAGATGCATAGGGCCAGGTATGGGGGAAGGGGCAAGGAGCCTCCGTGCCTTCTTTAGAGACGTCGCCTTGCCAGCAGCGTGATGTACTCCTCAGATTTGGAACTCTCCAAACCCTGTTGTTGAGGATTTTTTCTGGAGGTTTCAGTACATAAGTATGATTCATTAAATCATTGCTCATTGGTGATGG